TCCCTGTCACTCACCTTGACTGAGTCAATGGGGAACATGATGGAGTGCTCCATGATCCCGGCCAGCGAGCCGGCCATCATGTGGGTGCTGACCGACACGGTAGCGGGCAGAGTCTCGTACACATCCTCGGGGTCCTGCAGCGGCCCGGGCCCTGGACCTGGACCTGGCCCGGTCCCAGGAGATGGGGGTCCACACGACGCCGCCTCGTCAATCCTGGAGGAGAGAGCAGGCTGAGCCCGGACACAACCGACTTCCATATGGGGGGGGGGGGGAGAGAGGGAGGGAGGGAGTGAGTGAGTACTCGGGGAAAGAAACGGCAGGACAGCACAGCCCGGGAGCAGCTTCACGATCACTCCGCAAAACCACCCCACCCCCCCCCCCCCCCCCGTAACCCCCCCCCCCCCCCCCCCACCGGGATCTCCCCGGCTTATACCCTCCCCCCCTCCCCCAGAAACCTCCCTCAAAAGTGCCCTCCCCCCGGTCAGCACCGATGTGACAGACGCCCCACCCACTTCACGGCCGGGGGGAGGGCTTTGACCGACGGGTACTGCCGGCCAATCGGCGCTCGAGAAGTCGGAGACGGACGGCGAGATAGACCAATAGTGACGTGATGGAGGCGGGCCCCTGACACTAAGCGCCGCCCCTTCCCCCTCTTTTCACGGTCGCGCCCGGTCCGTCCAACCGTCGCCGCTCGAGCGTTTAGGGGAGGGGCGTGTGGGCTGGGGATAGTGAGGCGGGGTTTGGCCTTTGGCGGGCGGGGCCACGTGGGGTGAGGGGCGGGGTTTTGGGCAAACGGGGGCGCGGCTCGGTGGTGGGGGCGGGGCTTGGGCGACGGGGTGTGTGCGCTGGGGATGCGTGGGCGGGGCCTGGTCTGACCGTGGCGGGGACACGTGCGGTGAGAGGGCGGGGTCTTCTGCGGTCGGGGCGGGATCCCGTGTCTTGGGCGCCGTGGCGCGCGTCACAATGGAAAGGGGGCGGGGAGCCGTGGGAGATTCCCCGTCACCGATTGGCTGGCAGGACAGTAAATAATCCGCCACGGAGGCCCAATGGGCGTGAAGGTCCCGCCCTATCTTGGCTCATTGTTGCATTTCACGGTGACTCGGCTGTTTCAGGCTTATGGCGGGGGAAGGGTGCTAAGTGAACTTGGCTCATTGCAAATACTACCCCAGCAAAGCATAGCAGGGAGCCTTGATGCTCTGCAGCAAACACAAGTTGTACAAAACCTCTAGCTCTCATGCGAAGACATGTGGGGGAAAAACAAGAGTTATTATTGCCACTCTTGTGTGACTCACCTTCAGAAGTCCACAGAAGTTGAGTTAAAGTTCTGTTGAATCCTGAAGAAGGGGCAACGTCTCTGAGAAGGTGACTGGTACTGCCCCTACCTCTCTGAGCTTGGTAGGCCTGTGTTTTTAAGTTCTGCCTGCTGCGGGTGGGTGGAAGTGTGTTACAACCTCTCTGAACAGGTTGGTTGGACAAGACCTTTTGTCTATCTCCACAGACGCTGGTAGACCTGCTGAGTTTCTCCAGCAATTTCTGTTCATTGTTCCTTTCACATCTCCAGCATGCACTGTTTTCTTTTGTGTTCTTCTGGCCCTGGATGAATGGTGCACTTCAACATCTTACACAAGGCAGCTCGTTGCCACGTTATGGAGAGCAACTAGGGATAGCTTGGGGCCATATCTTCTGTTTCAGCCTGCAAGACCCTTTTCCCATTAACGAATAAAACCAATTCTCCAACAGTAGTAAGGGACTCCAGTCTTTAACTCTTTCTCCGCAGGTGTCGCCAGACCGGCTGAGTTTCTCCAGTAATGTTGTGTTTGTGTCAGATGTCCAGTATCCGAAGTAGTTTGCTTTTTATTTTAAAAAAAATTCAACCCCACAACCATTTCGTTACCTCGGCGAAATTTCTCTTCCAGTCCTTCACAGCAGAAGGCCTTTTGGCCCATTGCACACTTCCGAATGGGATTTTGAAGACTGTCCCCTTAATCCAGCATCTGAAGAAATGGGGGAAGAGGCTGAAGCCCCCTTTTCACATTTCAAGGATAACAATAACACTGCCTCACTAACAAAAAACATGGCTCACAAGGTGTGTAACGCTGAAGCCAGATCTGCTCCTTGGGTGTTGGCCCTATCCCCACTACCACATCTCCCGCCCCACACAAACTGGTGAGCACTGATAAACGACAAACTTGATGCTCAGGAACAGAAACACAAAGTGCCATGTTGGGAAGGGCTAGAAGTGGGCAAACCAGTTGGAGAGACGAAAACAGTGTGAAAATGCAATGCACGGGAACTCAACTGTCCAACCTCATGGTTATTCGTGTCCCCTGGTTTTGGATCACTGCGAGCAATGGCAGTCATTTGCTGGATAAGGGGTGGTGGAGAAGTTTCTGAGGAAGAGTCATCGGACCTGAAACGTTAACTCTGTTTTCTCCTTCACAGATGCTGCCAGACCTGCTGGGCTTTTCCAGCAACTTTGTTTTTGTTCCTGATTTACAGCATCCGCAGTTCTTTTGGTTTTTATTTACCACCATCATCCTGATGGTCACCTTTGGCTGCATCAAGCTGTGTGTAGACCCTCGGGTAAGCAAACACCAAGTGTCACACTGGTTCTTGCCCTTATCGGGCTGTGCTTGTCCCTGGCTCACTGGGTGTTCTCCTGGTGATGGAAATATTGAAGAAATTTTGTTTTGCACATGACGTCCTTTTGCTGAGTGACTGCACGTGTATACACACCATGGATGATGTGGGGGAAAATATCAGTGCTATTGCCGTGCAGTAGTAGCGTAAGAGGGGAAAATCTCCTTAATTCAGGCGAATGACTCTGAGCTGGCTGGCCAAAGCCAGTGCACTGTGCACGTATAAATAAAGGATGACTTGGTGATGGGATACCAGCTTCTGTGCAGTTATTTCAGGATCCAAGGGAATTTGGCAAATTGGATCCCCAACTGGATGAGTGGCAAGAATAGTTGAGAGGTGTTTCAAAAGAAAAGTAGGACTGAGTCGCTACCTGTCCCCAGTGTTGCAAAGGATGGGCCTGGCCTCATTGCCACAAAATGCTCCAAGTCACTGGACCGTTCCATACCACCTGTCCTTCGCGGAGAATCTTGCAAAGAAAAACACCTCTGACCTCAAGTTCATCAGGAAGTGGTCAGCGCGTAGTGTCCTTAAGGCCCTGAGGGAAAAGGAGAGGATGGACCCTGTCACATGGTTCCCTGAGCAGACTGTCAAAGTAATTCAGCAGAATGCCTCATCACCAGAACTTTCCAACAAGCACAAAGACCTCACTTGGCTGGTGGTGAGAAGGACACGACCTGTGAGATCCTTTATGTACGCCCGGTCAGTCTGTGCCACCGCTCGCTGCCCTCAAAGTGGCTGTTGGGGGGAGTGAGACTACCATATATCTCCTTCTCGGAATGTGCCTTTGCAAAGGAAGCCTGGACAGAGATGTAGTGGTTTTGGTTGAAGTTCGTCCAACGCAGCTCCATAACACAGGACTCTGTTCCCCAGGACACACACCGAGACAAACATCAGCTGTGCCTGGAGGACCATCAGCTCAGTGAGAGATGCTCTTTGGTCTCCCCGAAACTTGTTGCTTTTCCAGTGTAAACAGCTCACCTCGGCAGAGTGTTGCAGACTGGCAAATTCCAAGGTCCGTGACTATGTGCTGAGGGACACACTGAAGCTTGGGGAAACTGCCGCTAGGGTGCAGTGGGGAAAAGACCATTCTCTAGGGTCTTTCTGTCAAAGTACAACAAAGGTCCATTCAGTTCAGAGACCTTGTTTCCTCCAAATGAATGCAAATAATTTCCTGCATAAATAGAAAAAGCCCTTGTTTGGCAACCGCAGGGAAGCTCTGACAAATGTCAAATTCCAATGCGTTTTGTTTATTTTCTGCAAAGAAGTGTTTTAGGACTTTCTGCATGTGTTTAGAGATAATTTTTATGAATAAAGGACTTTTTAGATTAAAAATGTCATTTGCTTTCTGAAAAAAAGCAGTTCTTAAATATCTGGATAGCCTCCTCCAACTTTATCTCTGCCTATGTCAGCTCTTTGATCCCCAGTCATTCCAGAGAACTGAGTTGCTGCTATTCTGGCCCAAAGCACATGGTCAATTTTCACTTTTTACTGAAAAAGCATTCAGCTCCCTGCCTGGACACAGCAGTGTGGATTTCCCTCAGTAAACCTGCCTGCCTTTCTCTTCCTCTGACATGCAGCTTCAACCTGCCTGTTTGATACAGTGTCTGGGCACCCGCCCTGCCAGGAGCCTGATGTCTCATTTTCACTGATAATACCCAGGCCATTTGGCCCATTGCGTGCTCACTGGCTTTCTGATCATGTTGACAAGGTGCCGATATCTCCTGCCTTTTCCCTGTCACCCCGCACGCTGTTATTTTTCCCCCCCACACAACAGCTCAACTTCATTGCAGAATGCCTCGATTCGACCCATCTGCACCAGAGAGTGCATTCCAGGCACAGGTCAGACTTCGTCAGAACTGAGCAAGGGAACAAATGTGCTTGAAGTGTCCACCGTGATCCAAGACTCATTGCAGAGAGAGCTCGAAATGTGTCCACTCAGAAGAGACACAGGCTACAAGCAGAATGCAGATTTAGCCACATCTGCTTCAAGCTGCCTTTCAAACCATCTCCTGAGTGGAGCACACCGAGAGACAATCAGTTGAAAATGTGGTGTCTAAACTCTTGAGGGGGGTGGATGGGTCAGTCTGACTCAGGGTGATGGTCTGCTCCTGGGGTTCAGCCGCTGCTGTTGGTTCCCCACCCCCTTTCTGTGACACTGGCAGGAACTGACTGCTCAGACAGTCTGCACAAACTCTGCTCAGCAGGCTGCAAAGTCATGCAAATAAGTTCCAGAAAGAGCTGGTAAGGGGAAATCCCAGGGCCCACAGCTGTAGGAAAGGAGAACAGGAAGTGACAAGTCTGACCGCGCACAGCCTAATGTTATATTGTCTGCCACACAGGCCGGCACAGTAAAAGGCATTCCTGCAAAAGTGGCAAGTGCAGTTATAGAGTCGAACAGCATGGAAACAGACCTTTCGGTCCAACCAGTCCATGCCGAACATAATCCCAAACTAAACTGGTCCCACTTGCCTGCATTTGGCCAATATCCAATCTGAGAAGTATAATTGACAAGTTAGATGAGCTCAGAGCGTTGGTTAGTACTTGGAACATTATTGCAATTACACAGCCTTGACTGAAAGAGGGGCGGGACTGGCAATTGGACATCCCAGGATTTAGATGTTTCAGATGTGATAGAAAGGGAGGTAAAAGGAGTGGGAAAGTTGCATTACTGGTAAAGGAGCATCTCACAGCTGTACTGAGGGAGGCTATATTAAAGGACTCATGCAATGAGGCAATGTGGGTAGAACTGAGGAACAGGAAAGGTGAAATCACAGTGCTGGGAGAATACTACAGGCGTCCCAGCAACCAGCGGGAAATAGAGGAGAGAACATGTGGACAGAGTGACCATTGAAGAGCATTAGCTTACTTTCAGTAAGAAGAATCAGAAACTGACTCTGTTTTTTATTGCTAATTCAGGGAAGTAAAAACATAACTTGCGAGGTCACAGTGCACTTGAAACATTCACTCTGCTTGTCTTTCTGCTGATGCTACCAGACCTGCTGAGTTTCTCCAGCACTTGCTGTTTTATTCTTGACATGTGGATCTAAGGGTCACACTGACAAATCAGGTCCTTCAAGATGAGGAAATTTAGCCCAATTTGGCTTCCTACTGTCAAACTCATCCAAAACTCTGCCACCCAGATCAAAGCTCACACCAAGTCCCATTCATGTGTGGTCACCTCAGTGTTTGCTGGTCTTCATTGGTATTCTGTCTGGAATTTAAAATTCTCATCCTTCTTTTCAAATCGCTCCACGGCCTCCTGATCTCCAAAATCTTCTCCTGCTTCCAAATCCCTCCGAGTTATCCACACTCCTCGAATTCTGGTCTCTTGTGCATCTGGGTTTTCCGGTTTCTCCATTGGGGATCCATGCCTTCAGCTGCTTGAGGATAAAGCTATGGAATTCCCTCACTGAATGCCTCTACCTTTCGACCTCACTCTCTTCCCAGATGCTCCCTCAGACCTAGCTCTGAGACCAAGCTTTTGGTCACCTCTCCAAATGGTCAGATTTGATCGGAGAATGTTTCAGTGATGACCCTTGGGATATTTTACTGCGCAAAGTGGCCTACATTACTCCAACACCATGTAAGTTCCTGGGTGGGGAGGGACTTAGTGGGGGTGAGAGGGTGTGTTGAGTTGGTTTGATTTGGAGTTTAGAACAATTAATCTTGTGGTAACACACTTAGGGGACTGAAAAGGGACAATGGGGAGAGGATGTTTCCCCTTTTGGGGAAATGCATCATCTCAGAGTCACCCATTTCAGACACAGATGAGGAGGAATTTCTTGTCTCAGAGGGGAGTGAATCAGTGGAATTCTTTACCCCAGAGGGCTGTCGAGGCTAGATCACTAAGCATATTCAAGGTTGTGAAAGACAGATTTTTAATCAGGAAGGGGGAGTCAAGGGTTATAGGGGAAAGGGCAGGAAAGTGGAGTTGGGGATAATCAGATCAGCCACAATCTCATTGAATGAAACTTGATGGGCTGAATGGCCTACTTGCAGTCCAATGTTGTCTGGGTTTATGTTGTTGTAGTTCTTAGATGATCTCTCCAGTGCTCCAAGCTGGCTAGAATGTACCATAACTGAAGCACAAATAACTGAAGAGTGAGAACTCTTGATCTCTTCCACTCATCTATGGCTGATCAATGAGTAGGAAATAGCCTTAGACACTGAATGCCTGAGGGTCCCTCTTCCACAAAGTTTCTTCTGAAGAGACGACACTTCAACCAAAGGAAACAGCTGGTTTCAATTGCTCACGCAATTGGGACACAGGCTTGCTGCACTATCCACCTCTTCAACTGGGTTAGAACACAGTGTTGGGGCCAAATGGCCTCTCCTCCTGCCTGTTTAAGGGAGTTTCTCCCCAATCTGATGGTCAGTTTTCAGGGAAGTCACATAACCTCGTTTCCTCCTTTCTGAGGGATTTTGACAGCACATTCCCATTGGTTCTATAAGGCACTTTCCTTCCTCAAACATCAAACAGGATGGCAC